GTACTGAAATCCCACCTGAAGCCATGGAGATAGGAGAGTTTTGCCACCGGAGGACAAAGCAAGTTAGGTTGCTAGTGCTAGCAATAGTTTGGCAGAAGTGCTTATCGGCCCAATCAAAATACAGGCAGATCTGTGACAGACGTACTTGTGGCAACTACTTCACAAAATACACAACCCTTACACAATGAAAAAGCTAATTGAGAGGTTGTACTCCATATTATAGTTCTGTTGTTAGCCATATGAGATGTTTATTTTTTTTATCTGTCTCAGTCATATTTAGTTGACTCATATGTAATGTTTGTAGGTCTTAACTTGTTTCCGTGATTAATGATAAGTAGAGCGACCTCAATATAGTTTAATATTAACATAATGGGTGTTAACTATAAGTAGATGTAGAAAATGCTAAGGAGAGTGGCTAACTTCTCTTGAACGATTTTCACTCCCTACGTCGCCATCGCTCTATAAAATGTTGCCCATTGTCACCATTAGAGTTGTCAGAACTCTCCTATCTCCATGGCTCTGCAGGGAGGTCTGGACAGCTCACTTTCTCAGCCAGAGTTCAGTTTGGCTTAGACTGTATTTACTCACCAACAGGTATTATGATGGCCCTGCCTTTCTAACACTGGATACTAAAATGTTTTTATTCAAGTTTTATTATGTTAATTAAAAGCATTAGAATTTAAACTTACTCATTAATTGGGTAAAGGAGGATTATTCGAACACAAATATATGTATAATTGATGTTGTTCATACTCTTGTTCAAGCACTTAACAAACAAGCTAGCAGAGGCAGTGTTTTGTTGAGCTTTGTCAGGAGAGCAATACTCTGGTTGTTTTTAATCCTCCTATTTATAAAAACAAACAGAATTTTTTAATTTTAGATTTGATGAATTAGGGGGTAGTCCAGGGCAGCTTTGTTGGGGTAGAAAACTGTTTATTTAATCATGCAATAATCCTCCCCCACAGGTGAAAAGAAGCACATTCTTAGTCTAATTTAGCATTCCCACCAATTACCAGTACAGATTTCACCTTTTGGCACAGCTTCCTTTGACTCCTCAGATACAGGGTATTTATGCTTTGTCTGTTAGAGAGAACAACATGTTAGGGGGTTTATTGACTGTGACTGTCTCGTCACGGTTTTGCAGGCAGAGAAGAAGCACAAGAGCTTTCAGGAACTTGATCGTTTTATGCACTACTACACACGCTTCAAGAACCATGAGCACAGCTATCAGGTAAAATTTGCCTCCCTCTGTTGTTTGATTTGCATATTATACTGACAGGCATGCAATCTAACAAACCTTGAGGGAAACATAGCCTTAGACAGGCATTCATTCTGAAGCACTAATCTTTATAAAGTAAAATGTTTTTGTATAAACTCAGCTGTTATAGTCTATCCACTCTTGTATTAATTTATAGCTATATAATGACTATATTTTTAACAATGCTCTGGTAAAAAATTCAGCATTCTTGGTCGCCAATATGTTTCACTCTGACACTTAGCATATGTAGCATTTTGTCCTATACACAATTTAATATAATACAAGTTACGGGTAAAACTTTCCTTTAAAGTACAAAAGGTAAAAAGAGATATCTAGTAATTATTGTATGGCTGCCTATTAAGGTTGGGTGATATGTAACAACAGATATTTGTCAGTCCAACAAATGGCGATAAATACATATTTGTGTAGGTGACCTTGAGGTTAAAGACAAGCACACCCTTTAGAGCGCATCTTCTGCTCAATTGGTAATATTGATTACCACCTTCGCACATTGCTAAAACCCAATAAGAGTTTTAACAATTTATTATGCTTGTTTTCTTGCTTGTTTTCTTGTCAAAAATGTATACGTTTTGTCAAGTGGGAATGGTTTGCTCTTTTCCGGTTGTTCTGATTACGTTATGAGACATTTTAGTTTTTGATCGTTATTCATTTGTTTATCTAAATGTGCAACATCAAACAGACTGAGAACTGTTGCTGAGATTTTTGTTCATATGGAAATTGCACAGCTTCTCTGGAGGAAGAATCTTCCCTTCTTTTCTTTTATATAAGTTTGTATTGTTTAAAATCATATCTGTAACAGACGGAACGGCCTGTAAACGCACTTGAAAAAACAACCTGTTTTCTCTGGTTCTGTTTCGGCTGTATAAAAAAACAAAAAACAAACTGCTTGTCTCTGGTTTGGATGAGTTCTTTATTTCTGTCTCAAGTTTAAGTAGATAAATATGCTGCTGCACGGTGGCACTGGGGAAAAAAGCTGCAGCTGGAAGGACGTTGTGTGTAGCGTTAAAAACAGCATTGGGTCCAAAATAATAATAAAAAATAAAAAAAACGCAGACCGTTGAAGCTTTGAGTCTATTGTCGATGGTTGATAGATTCGTCCAATCGCCCAACCTTACTGCTAATACTTATAGGATGGTATAATTTTCATCTGTTCCCTTCATGTTTTTACTTTTCATGTACTGCATGTCTTTCCATTGTTTAATTTGGTTTGGCTCTGGCACAGTTTGGCTCCACAATAAAACCTTGTGTTTTCTTTATAGCTTGAGCAGCGTCTGTTAAAAACAGCCAAAGAGAAGATGGAGCAGCTCAGTCGAGCCCTGAGTGGAAGTGAGTGTGCAGTTTGCTATAACAGTGTCAATGACGTGTTACACCTTTATCTGCAACTTTCTGTGCTCTGCTATTAAACATTTGGAAGCTAGGAAATGATAATAAGAAATCTAAATAATTCAGTAAATTATAACTTTCCAACTGTCCGCACATTTATAGTATTCAGACAAGGATACTCCACAGGGTTCAAGATTACGAAGTTGGACTTTATGTGTCACTAAGTATTGGGAAAACATAAAGCATGAAAAGATTCTTTAGCTTACCTTAGTTCAGAGCTTTTTCTTATAATGCAATGAATATGTAGCCTAGTAAACTAGCCCCACCCGCCTGCGGCCAAAATAATTTTTGCCTGCGAGTTTGGTCCAACCTCGATCAGTGCCCCAGACCCTAGAACTGATGGGCCAATCACAACGCAGAGATTTGTTTTGAAAGTCCGGATGCAAAGCGGTCGGGGTTTTGAGGACGTGACAACAAGGCTGCATCTCTCAGCATAGTCTTGTGTGAAGGACAGCTAGCTCTGATGGCGATTTTTGACTCAGCTCTGAAATCCGTTTCGGAAGGATTAGACTTGATGTTTTCGTTGAAACGTGAGCAGGAAGAGGCTCTACATTCTTTCATTTTTAAGAAGGACGTATTCACAGTTTTACCGACAAGCTGTTTGTTTACCCCCACTAGCTTCCTGTCGCACTTACTACGTCACAGTCAGTTGCGCTCATTGATCAGAGCGTTGGCCATTAGGCCCAGACATGGTTTGAAAAACAACGGGTTGTTCTCATCAACAATCTTCCGATGTCTCATTCACTGGGGCCAGACTAAATAACACCTTTCATCTCCCATTTAGTCTGGTTTATCAGGCTAGTGAATACTGTAACTTTATCATTTTGTTTTCATACTATTAAACAAAGAGAGTAAATCCATTTTTTTTTATCCAAGGAGACTTCTAGTTTATTTAAGGAGGCAATTTATTAATTTAATTTTGATTGTGTTTTTTATTATTTACAGCAGTTAAACCAAAATATAAAGCCAGCCCCCCCCCCAAAAAAAAATAAACTGAGCCTGAACCTTCTTGAAGAAGGCTGGATTTTTGTGTGTGTGTGTAAATAAACTCTTTTTAAAGAGGTATGTAATATATTTATTATTATTAATTATTTTTTGGAATAGTTTTAATTCCTTGTGAAAATTTACAAATTTTAATGTAAACTGCAGACTATAGCATGGATGGATATTAGCAAAGACTTCAAAATAAAACATGCAATATATTGTGATATTCTAACCCCTTTAGAGAAATTTAAAAATAAGCTTGAAATATAAGTTGTACCTATGTACAGACATCAGATAAAAAAAAAAAAAAAAAGTTAAAATCAATGAAATTCATATTATCCATGTCCCATTTATTAAACTTGGACATGTTTCTTTGCCACTTCGATTTGATAATGAGGGTTAGATAAACCCAAATTATTTGATGTGCAAATCAATATAAGATGCTTTTAAAAACAGCCATGCACATTGGGCATCTGTTTTGCCATAGCAATGACTACTTTCCTTTCCTGGTGGAGAGAAGAGGGAATCCCCTTCTCATTTACCCCCAGCCCCCTTAAGGCTAGATCCATATATCAGTTTCCGCGAGCATAATGTACAGTAACTATTATTTGAACCAGCTTCCATACGGCTTGCCATCCAAGTTCTTCCATCTATGCCCGGTACCATTTATTTTTAAGTCCTTCATCGGTTAGGACAGTTTCTACAGGCTTTAGAAACTTTTCTTTAGCAAAGTGAGCTGCAGATTGATCATGTAGTCGTAGTCAAGATTAAATCCATTATTCCCAAAGTTTTGGACACATAACATGTACAGAAGAGTAGCTGGAGCAGTTTTACAATGATAACATGTTTGGTCCAAGTCAGTCTTGATACTTGATGGCCAGTGAAGGTGATGTACGACTTTAACTGCCTAATACAGTGTCTAAGGAAATATTGCCCAAATACAGGCTTTGTAAAAATAATCCCCAAAACCTTTAGCTATGGTATGTTCAGTATTGTTGCTCCTAATTGCTCTTGCCATCACTGTTAACACTCTTCTAAGCCAGTCATTTTGCATTATTTAAACATTGTATATCCGATTTTTATATTAAATATCTTGTCTAGCAGAGAGATAAAAAGTTATACAGGAAAACATTCAGAACTAGAAAAGCTCTCCGAGAGCGCACACTGGAAAAACAATCTAGAAATAAGTAAAAATGTATTCAACTAAATGTGTTTACCTTTAATTTAATTAGGTAAATAACATTATTTTCAAAGGAATTAGTAAAATAAGATAATTAGATAATATGCACTTGAAATAATAATAATATTTTTGAATTTCATTGGCAAAGTGCCAAAGTCTCTCACTTCCTCAATTCAAGAAGAAAATGCTCCTATTTTAAGAAATAATGACTTATTTAGATTTAAATTTTTTGCAGCATGGTCCACCATCAAGCAGCAAATTTTGCCCCATATCGTGACTTGCACTTATGGCTAAAAATTCCCAATGATCCGGATCATTAACAAATGTCAATGAATTGTTCTTGGCTTGAGATGCACATTTGCATTTACAATTTCCTTAAAAAGCCTTTCATAAGTTTTATGAATAGGACACAGCATGTGTCTGCAGCCTCTGGTGCTTGCTCTGCTCTCATCTTCTTCTTTCACTTTGCTTTCTTCTTTGCTCAGCAGATATGGGACTTCTAGACTAGTAAGGCTCACCTTTCCTGTGTTTTTGTCTTCAGTACAATACTTATGGACTTTTTTAAGTTCGATGCTGAAGCTGTCAGTAGTCACTGCTGCCACCCTATAGTTTAGGGAGGAACTGTTTGTTCTGCCAAATAACGTTAAAGAATCCTTTAAAAAAATCCTGCATCCAAATTATAATGTGGATCATCACCAAAATTTATGGACACAGACAGAAAAACAGAAAGGCAGACAAACAAACACATTTGACTAAAAACATAACGTCCTTGGCAGTTAATTAAAAGTAACAAAGCAATATCTGTAAAAAGCTGAAGTTTATGAAAGCAACACAAAAAGAAGAAAATCAAATATCTTTCTACCAATTCTTTAAAGTCGATATTCCAGATTGCTTTGTGTATAATTCAGGGTGTAAACAGGTATATTTTTGTTATCGGGGTAGCAAGCCAAGCTACCCAGTTGTATCAGACCGCAGCTCTATACATCCATCATGATGTTTGTTGCCAAGAAGAGAATAGTAAACATGGAAGGTAGAAGCCACCAATTCACATTAATTTGACATTAATTTAGGATTTATTTCCTTATGCGTAGCTGTTTTCTTTTCTTAAATTGCATATAAAGAGATATCTAAGTTGATGAAAAAGGATTTTGTCAAGAAGATCAGTGAGCAGTTTTCACCCATGATGCATTTTAACTCTAATTTGCCAAACAAAAACAGCACCTTTAACAGATTCTGTTGTATTATGAAGCAGTTTACACTCATTATATCCTGATTATGTTACATTATTTCAGCCCAGCTCTTTCACTGGGGCTATTTAGGGACACCATATCTCATTGTCATGTTTACTTGCTAGTATGGTGTGTTTATTGTGTGGATAAAGGTTAAAAGGCAGATTAAATTCTGAATATTAGTTTAAAAAAAAAGTGTCTGTATACAGTGTTCTCCCTTTTTGTATTTAATGAAGAATCGCCTTCTGATGAAACCCACTTGGGAAAGAGGTGTATTTAAATGAGACAATTAGTTTCAGCATAATGCAAGAGAATTAAAATTCATAACTCATAAAAGGGCAGCACACCTCTTGACACCACATATATGACTTAAAAGAACACTACCTGTAGCTGATTTTGTATAATGAGGTGCTTTGTTCTGGGGTTCTCTAAAACCAAAGTGAAGGAGTGTGGGTGGGAGTAGAAGGATGTATTAAATTGTGTTTTCTGACTTTCTCTACTTGTCTCTCCTAGGGGAAGGAGGCCCTCCTGACACCACGTTCATCGAAGATGCGGTCCTAGAATTGCTCAAGACTCGCCGCATCCTAAAGTGCTCTTATCCTTATGGGTTCTTTCTAGAACCCAAAAGCACAAAGAAGGAAATCTACGAGCTTATGCAGGTCTCAGAGCCTTCCACTGTAAAATCAGTCTCTGCATGGAATGTTACAGATGGAAGCCAGGTCATAATTGTTCCCACTTAGCTCGTTTAAACTACCACATATCAAGTTTTTGTAAACATGTTGTTTTTTAATTTATGGATCCGTACGGAAACAGAATAAAAACAGAGTTGAAATGTTAAATTGTCATCTTAACACAGCAATTGATGCAGCGCCTTTTCATAAACAGCAGTATCTGTGTATATTGGAAAATATAAAGATGGTTTATCTTCCTGTGAAACCATCTTTCAGCCAGTTTGTCGTTCTTTGTGCTCATAGACTGACTTGGAGATGGTGACCGAGGACTTGGCACAGAAGGTTAACAGGCCCTACCTGCGAACTCCCCGCCACAAAATCATTCGCGCTGCTTGCCTCGTGCAGCAGAAGAGACAAGAGTTTTTGGCCTCAGTGGCAAGAGGGGTGGCCCCAAATGACTCTCCTGAAGCCCCCAGACGCAGGTAGCATTCAAAAAGGCAGATTGTTAAATGTTCAGAATATCTATGTATGTTTAATGATGTTGGTTGTACATAAATCTTTTACTAACAGATAGTGTTTTCTGTCTTTCACCAACAGTTTTGCAGGTGGAACATGGGACTGGGAATATTTAGGCTTCGCATCACCTGAGGTAAACGATTGTTTAAGATTCCTGTTCTGCTCAAGGAAATACTTGTTTTGCTAAAGAAAACAACACATTTAGCTGAAAATTATTTCACTGTAAATTACTGTAAGGTATATTATTATTTACACTGTTAAATTTCAACTACATTTTCTTCATACATTGTTTGACCATGCTGGCTTGAATAGGAAAGAAGAATAAAACTTAGAGAAGAGCACATAAGTTATTGCAAGTCTGCTGTATGATGCATTAATCATATGAAATATTTACTAGCTGTTTGAGAAAACTATTCACTCTTGCTTTGGTATAAGGTAAACGCAAGTAATGAAATAAGAATGTAAAACCAAATGTAAATGAGCTGAGTTGCATGACCTTAATGCTTTATAAAAAAAAACTATGCAGACAGTCAATTTTCTAATACTAGTATAACTTTTATCTTTATCATAAGTTTAGAATTGCTTTGAGGAAAGATTTCTGTTTTTTGGGGGGTTTTCAAAAGCTTTTGTCTTGATAGTAAGAAAGGCAGATAAATGGTGGGTTGGCACTAGCTGAAGTTTGGGGCTTTTGTTGGCTGGTAATTTCATCTCAAGAGGAACCCTCTTCTAAACTCATCTGTTTCATGCCTCAAACTCTAGAGTAACTGCTTTTGCTTTCTAGCTACAGAGCTGCTCAGGTTCCCCACTGTTGCTTGCTTCGAGGTTGCTTTCAGAGCATGGAATTTTTCTTTCTTTCTGTTCTTAGGGAATCTGTAACAAATTAGTTTTTCTGCATAAAAATAAGAACATTTCGTTGTGGAGGCACATAAAATGCTGGTTAGATCTGTAAGAACGGTTTGATTGCTGCAATTCAAATAAGATATTTTACAGATTTATTTTAGTGCAAGTTTTCCTGTGGGTGAAAAAACAATTCCTTCCAAATAATGCATCAGATTAATGTACTGCAATATTTTTCAGACACCTGATTTTACAGTGATGCTTCTAATTCCATAAATTGTGTGGTTACACAGATGACTCAACCCAAAAAAAAAGATTTATTTTATAATTAATTGTAAGTTTGAAGGAGCTTAATTTTTAAAATTGTAACTATATTATCATTACTCTGTTAATTTTACAATAAAGAACAAGTAATAAATTGCTGATGTAGTTAAACAATGGAGCGTAGACTCACTTATAAAACTAAAACAATCATCTAGACTTTTTATTCCCCCATACATCTTTGAAGTGATAAAAAACCCGAAGCATGCGTCTCTGGGTAATTCCACATTATTTACAGTTATTTGTGGTTAAGGCTTAAATTTATAAAAAGAAAGTAATGCTTTGTTTATCAGATGTATTGCTCATCTCTACAGTTTGTTCTAGTTTTTACTCATGTGATACATGACAACATTTTCTTTTTAAGTTGTGATGTAATAGGCATGTAAACAAATAATCAATTAAGGACGAATTTTTCGATTAATGGTTAGATTAAAACATTCCATCAGATTAATTGATCACTTCTCCTTAAGGGTATAGAGGATGATCATTTATTTTTGGATGGATCATCAACATCTGTGGTCCTCCTAACTGTCAGTCATTCTGGTGATGTGTTTACATAATGCCGTCCTCTTTGTTCATCCCATTAACTATCTTTTTCTGCAAATGCACTCTTTCAGGCGTATATCTGTGGTAAACTACGGTTTCAGACAGTCATTGAAGCACACCTTTTTCACCGCGGTTCTCTGAAAACGGCCGAGGGCAGTAAGAAAAAAAGTGTCTAAGAAGTGTATGAGAAGAAAAGAAAAGCCTCAGAAGAGGCAGATATATCCCGGAATGCTTTGCGGAGAGAGCTCTCCTCGCAAAGCATTATGGGATTTGCTGTCACAGCGGCCTACTGTCAACTTATAACAAAGATGGCGCAGGCAACGCACAGTGAAGGAGGAGTTACGTGACCAATGGGGCAGAAAGTAGTCATCATGTGTCCGAACGATCAGTTAACGGAGTTCGCTATAAAGTCCACTATATAGTCCCCGCTCTATATAGTGATGGAGGGATTTAGGGGGTAGGGCGGACATTTGGACAAAGTATGCTTGTATGAGCTATGAAAACAGCAACTTTGAAACAGAGCGTGCACTAGGGGTGTAAATCACACCCATCATGGCGATTCGATTCAGTATCGATTTCCTTAACCAACGATTCG